GGACACTTACTTTGGGTAGCCAGAACGTCACCGCCAAATGTCATCAACGTGGTGGCGGCAACAGACGGGGATGTAAATGATGTGCAATTAATAATAATATACGTTTTCAAATAGCCGAGTTTCCGCTACATTTTTTTGATACATATATACGGAATATGTGACGCTATAGGTGGATAGCAGAGAAGAAGAGAGGAGATTGTTGATGAAAAAACCAGCTGATATTAGATTATTGTTAAGAGAATTTACTGATAAGTGAGTGATACAGAAGAGAGGGTATGGTTAAAATTTAAAACTGGAGGTGGAGTGCGGTAGAGTTATTTTTATCTGCATCCATTACTCTGTCGCACTCCACCTCCCACCCTGTACTTTAAACTTAAATAATTTTAAAAGCAATGATCAAAAACTGTTTGTTGATAAGTTCAAATTTTCAGCCAATAATTCTTAGTAAAATGGCTGTCAAAATTAAAAAAAAATAAAGGTAACCAAAAAAAAAAAACAATAATTTAAAAAAAGTAAAATAGCTAAGACCAGTACATACAGTGGTGTTTATAGCGCAAATGAGTATAAGTTAATTCAAAAAAAAATCTTCACTGGCATTCAACCTTTGATCTCAACTTATACACTTTTAGTAACTTTAAAAGTAGTTGATAACAAAAAAGACAAAAATTTTAATATTGTCCAATATTGTGTGAACAAATAGTTGACAAACTACCTAGTAGTGCACGCTCGACGAGTTTACTCTGTGTACTCCAATGCAGTTAATAGTAGAAAAAATGATAAATGGTGGTTAATTTTGTATATGGTACCTACGCAGGTAGAACACACAATATTGAGTAGACATGTAATTTCTGGTGTTAATTGGACCTATATGTACTTATGTATGCATGTTTCGCTCTAAGAATGTTGAACATCTAAACCTCTTGTCAAACACATAATTAGTTGAGATCGACCCATAAAAACAGTGTACAGGTTTTAATGCACAATGTTTGTCGTCTGTCTTATGAAAATAAACACTGTTAAAAATCACAGGGACTCGAAAAATATCGAAAAAGTTTTAAATCTAAAAAATAGAGTGGAATGATTTGTTCATCCCTGTCGGGTACCTTATAAGTTTCCACATTATTAGATAACCCGACTCTTCCCAAGAAGGAGTTATTGTATTTTTCATAATACGATAAAATGTTTAATAAAAACCTAAAAAAGTTTTATTTATGATAAAAGCACTCGATTAAAAAATATAAGTACGTCAGAAAAGAAGCAAACAACAGTAGGTATGTTTTCCCGGAATAAGAAATCGACTTTCTTATGTGTAAACTTGTATCTAATAAAAAAAGGGTGCCCGAGGGTCTTAAAAATTTCAATATTTCCTTATTGTATATCATTCACTACCTACATAAAGAAGGATCAACCTTCATAGTTGACACTATTATGTAACACAGCACACAATAATTTACACAAAGTATGCAACATAGAAGCATATTATGTGTTTAACTGTTGTTAGGTATGTGTAATTATAATAGTATTTTAATTATATTATGGCTATGTTGTATATTTTGCAATAAAATTCTCGGATATTAAAAAGGGCTTTTCAGAATTTTACATTGCAATATAATGTCAATTGGAATGTTTGAAATAGGAATAATCCAGTATAAAATTCAATTTGATTGAAGCTGAATACAAATTATTAGGTAACGTATGTAGTGGGTTAAAAAGTGTTGCATTTCGTGGGCTCAACAAAAAAAATATGAGCTCTCAAATGTTTTATAGGGTACCTAAGATCAGTGTTCCTAAAGGCGACTTTGTTTAACGGTCAATTGACATTTCGAGGGTGTAAAATAATATTTTTAAAAGCTGTATAACTTCAAATGAGGGTTTGACTCCATCAGACCTGTACTAGGTCACGTGAAAAGTTCATTTTTTTTTTTGTAGCACTGTGTAATCGAAGCAGTGCGGCGTAGAAAAATGGAAAATAACAAATTTTGCTGTTTTATTCAACGTCATGTACACTATATGTACATCGCACGTCTTATCGCATACACACATGCGGATTTATGTACACCTATATAATATACAACACCGCACACCGTCATTGTATCAAACGCGGTTCGGAATATCTAACCGGATCGCCCACGTGTTTTATTGTAATCCAAATAAAATATGATGTGCAAACGTTTTTTTTAAGGACATACAGCGGAAAATATTATACTTGCACGGGGTCGAGTTATTTTGAATACTGTGAATTATTAACGCGAAACCGTCGGAAAGCACGCGCCACGGTCGGCGGCCCGTTAGCATAATAATATTATTATTATAATGGCTATGGGTTTATGTGTGCATTGTATTTAAGGGAAAACTAGAGAGACAATATCCGCAGATCGTTCGTGCCCAAGATGGGAGAACGAAAGCCCATTTTTTTTTTTTGTTGTTTACCAGTTAGAATATAATATTATTATTTTTCCTTGCCGACAATCGCACAACACCAACCGCAGCTAGATCCGACCTTAATTTTAATACGATTTTTATCGACAATGTTTTTAATAAAAAACACTATTATCAGATCAGTGTGGCTGCATAAATTAGTGTAAATTACCTACTGTGCAGATTTTTTACAATATTATTATTAGGTATACAAACTCCTTATTAATCATAAGATTTAAATGAACTATATTGTTATTACCACAGATCAGATAATTTCTTTTCGTCTAATCTGTGATGTGATTATGAAATTGTATGCTTGAATCTGTGGTCACACCGATTTCATTTTCAGTTATGTGACGACATGGACTTGGTTTACATGCCGATCAAGCTATCGGTTTTCATGTAGTCTCAAATCTGTGGTCATTATACATAAAGTTTGTTCTTCAGTTTAATGTAACTTTGTATTCTTTTTGAAAACATTTTTGTTTATGTTATATTAGATTAAAAGACAAGTGACAGCATTTAAACATTTACCTGTTTTTAGTAGTTTCTAGAGATTTTAAAACTTAAATATTAACATACATATTTAATTGAATTTTTAAATTAAGAATCATTTGCTGAACATTTTGACTGTTCGATAACCAGTTTTAAACAAAGAGTTTTAAAGTTATTTAAAATTAGAATTTAAGTCTCTCGTCTAGATTAATATTTATATAATATGCATTTATTTTATATTTTTAATAAACACTATACAATTTTATTTTTTTTTGTCTTCAACTTAATTTATTGCCAAATAAGTGATGAATGTAAAATAACATTTTTCCCTTACTAGTTTTATGCCTATTTTTAAATAATATGTCTAACAGCATCAAAAAATATTCTATAAAGATTACTTATAATGAGTAATATTTTTTTTTTAATTTTGAGAATTAAGGATATTTAGATAATTTTTAAAAAAATAAATAGTTTTAAGGTTGAAAAGGTACATGACGTAATAATTCTAATATTTTTATAGAAGCTATTAAAAATTAATGTCAAATTTTCAAAATCATATCTTTAATATTAATTCATTCAATATATTTTAGTATAATATAATTCATGAACAATTAGAAAAAGTTGACTTGTCCCTTCCTCGCAGTTAGTGGTTCATACTTCATATTATATCACATTACATCAATTCCTTCGCCCTTTACTTATATTTCTCGCTTACGCCACATGTCGACAAGTCACTATAAAGACCCTTGGGCAACGTTTTAGAGCAGATATAAAAGTTTTAAAATACTTTCTGACAAAAAAAATGGGGAAAATTATCGGTTTTTCGAAACGCTGCACCGCGTGCGCGTTTAATATAGATAATTGTGCGTTGTTTCGACATTAAAGACAACGACCGGCGACATGTCCCCCACATATTATATTAAAATATATGATATTATGTGTACAGAAGAAAGAATCGACGGAATTTTAACGGCCTTCTGCACTCCAAAATATAACGTGCGGCACACATCGGTTGGAACGTTTCCAATAACCGACAAAAACAATATAACGGCGACTAGTGCCATAATATAATGTACATTTTTTTTTTCTTATTACAAAAACTCAAACCCCTCGTGTTGTGTGTCAATAATCAACTCGCCCTAAACATCTCCCAAAAAAAATGCGGCCTTCGTAGACATGAACAGTCTGGCTTAACAATGAGGACTTTTTTTCCAAAAAATGTGCTGCAAGTCAAATAAAATATTGAGTTAAGTATTGTAGGCGTTTCTTAAAAAGTCAGTTTGTCGAAAGGCAATAGAGAAAAAGTCTTAATTCATAACCTCTACTGACATATGACAGCACAATACAAGTTTTTATTAAACCTTGTTTTTTTCTAATACCTAATTAAAGTTTATGTGACTTACACTAAGTTTTAATCTTCTCATTTAGTATACATAGTATGTGACCTAAGAAAGTACAATAAGCTGATCTCTCTAGTCTCGATGACATATAATAATTAGGTTTAGTATAAAATTATATTAATCTAACCTGCATCGTAATGGAGGTTTATCCAAGTTTCATGTATCACACAATGGTGTAAGGAAAATATCTAATTATAAAAATAAGTTTTATATTACATATTCAAGTTAAAAACATTATTTTAACCTGAATGGTGGCTGTTAAAAGCCAAAAATAAACCTAAGTATTGGATTTGTCTACACAAAGCAGAATGGTCTAATAAAAAATAATATCCGGTGTGGTTCACTAAGAAGTATATCTGTATAAATTAGAATTATGATTCTATCTATAATTGTCATGGGCGAATTTTGGCTAGAATGAGTCATGTGACAATACATTTTATTAATTTCAAAGGTATTACAGCTAGGGTTTGATTTTCTATTTTGTATGGATGCACATTTAAGCTAAAACTGAAGTCTAAATCTATGAAAAGTGTATATTCAGTCACACTTTTTACACAAAAGTAAGAAGTTATACAGCGGTCTCTATAATATGATCTTGGATATAATATCACTTCTTCCCTTCCACCCCGAATACAACCAAGAAACTTGCATATTTTTTAATTAAAAAAAAAAAAAAAAATACTGTATTTCTATATAAATTTAAAATGACAGCACATAATATCGAAACATAAATAAGTGACGAATCAAAATTAAAAAAAATTACTTGTCGACAAAATAAAATAATCAATTTTTTTAAATTTTTTTATACATTTTTTGTTATTAAAAACTATTTGTTGATTAACGTTTTCTTTTCGGTGTCCTTTGATATGTAGGCAATGCGGCCAATGGAATTTTTAATGTAAATTTAGTTTTGTCTTCTTTTGTCGCTGTAGCTCCAACAACTCGCATAAGCATTATTAATCTAAAACGAAAACGTTGTTGTTAATAAATTATTTTTAATAAATCATACTATCACTATTAGTCATGTTAAACTAATATTAATTCCTTTTACCTAAAAATTTTAATCATTATTTTAACAGCTGCAATATAAAATGAAAAGATCATGTTGGGATAGGGAAGGTCACAGGTCTTAAGAAATTATTACAGGTGACTATAAAGTATAAAAGGCTTGGTGCTAACCCGTAGCTTGTTAAACCTATTCAATATAATTGGTATAAATTACTTTATAGACAATACATGTGTTTATAATCGTATAATTTGACTATTTTTTAATCTCGATTAAAAAGCGTTATTTCTAAAAGATTTTTTAACTTATTCAAAAATAATTTTTAGACCGTCTGTTAGGCGAATTTTATTATTGTAAAATAACCAACAAAAAAAACTTATAAAAACAAAAAAATTAACCTTTTTTGACATTTTCCAGGAAGAAATTGTGATATCCAACTCAAGTCCAAGTAAGTCATGTTAATCAGAAGCATCACAATAATTATATGGCATACGGCTTTATCTTTCATTTTTGAAGAAATATCCCTGAAAAAAATTTTAAATATATAAAAAATATTTTAACACATAATGTTAAAAAGCGCTTAACGTAAAACAAACACAATAATTTTCACTCGTGTTAGGTTTGAAACGTGTCTAAAACATATAGAGAGATTACTTAAACTACACATGTTATTTTTAACATGACATTACAACTTTTTTCACACATTTTTATTTTAGAACTATAAATCATCTTTTCCTTGTTCTTCAAAACGTTTAGGAAAACTTAACAAATATTTGGTCAGATTGACAATTTAGCGCAGACATCTTAGAACGACAAATACTTAAGTCGTAAATAATTGAATAGTGTTAAAAAAATTTAAATAAAAAAATAAAGTAGATCTGAAATTTATTTTATAATTGTAAGTTACGTATTTGAATATAGAGTAAAAATAAGAAACAGTTTAACCGCGTTGTATAAAATGGCTTGTCAAAAACTATGCTTTAATGTTTTATACTTTGAATTTATAACAAATACTATATTTGCATTTTATAATGTTTATGGTAGAAATTCAAAGTTTTTGATGTGAGTGAAAATTGTTGTGTTAAATATTTTACTTGATGTGACTTTACAATGGTGATGAGGATATTTTGTTAAACAATATATTTACCTTCCTGTGATACTGTATTCAGTAAAGTGATCTAACACTTTGCTGTTAATCAATTCACTGTTCGGATAAATAGCATAATTTTTATTCACGTCTTCGCTTTTTAAAAACAGTAAAGTAACAAGTGCATCAGCCAAAGTAAGAAGGCATATGTTTTGTACATTTTTTTGAGGCAGTCTGTTTACGTTGGCTATGAAAAACTTGGACAAACTGTAAAATGAAATAATTCATGAATAATTATAAATACATAGATACACAATTTAAATAGATACAACTTACTCCTCATTGTCTTCAGGAACTGGTATCATAGTTATAACTTCATTTGCGTAGTCCGTCATTAAATCTATTTCGTTTTCCGACAACAGAGTCGATACTGGATATACATCTTCAATGTTAGTAGCAAAACGATTACATCCCAGTGGCAAATAACTATTAAACTCATCAATCTGAGTTGTAGATGACGATAACTGTGATATGTCATTAGCTAAAATGTAGAATTAAAATATGTTCTAATACTTATATGTTACAGAGAATAAGTAAAAGTAATAATATAATTTGTTTGAATTCATTTTTATTGTTCAGCAATGAAGGGCGTCCGCAGGAATAACTGTATTAATTATTAATATGATTATAAATACGTGTTCAAAACTCAGACTGATACAGTGATAGCACAAACTGTTCTATACATTTTAATTTGTTATAAAAAAAAAAATTAAAATCATAGTTGACACTTCACCTGGTCCCACCTCTAAATGCAATAAAAGCACCATTCTTAGTTCTGACGTTCATAACCGAATTTAATAAGTCACTCAGCCCTCAGTAAAAATATTATTTTGTAAAATTTTATAATACATAATGATTATGATAATTGATGCAGAAAAAAGGCAAGGGGAATAATTGACCTTACCCCTGCGGAGGTTCAGATTTTGTTCAGATATTAGTAAAACACTTAATGTGTAGTTTAAGAGGATGGTCTATCGTAAGCTATACTTTAAATAAACTTGTTGATGTCCATTGACTGACTTATAATAATAGTAATATATTAATAGAGATATAGGTACATACTCATAGGTTTGATAATTCCAAATATCTCCGTCGAAGTTTCAATAGCATCGTTACCTCTTGCTTTGATTATGCGAGACACTTTTTTAGTTCTAAAAGTTGAATTAAACTCTTCAGCGTGATTGGCCAGGTCTCCTTGCGTATATGTTTGAATTTTATAATAATCTGGTTTTTTTAGAAAAACTGTTTTTACACCATATATGGATACCTGATTTCACCATAATAAATATTAATAAATGAAAAATTGAGTACTGAACTTGCAATAAGCACATAACATTATAAAGTTACCTTATTACTCCTTTTGTGTCTCAAAATTACATATTCTTTGCTGCTGACTTTTTTGGTAGCGTCTTCTTCTTCTACTGTGCCTCCATGTTGGTTAAATATTTTCAATATGGGCCTGTTTGATGATTCATCAAACACCATTCCACAGTCCAAAGAGTCTGACGAGATGAACTGGCCCACCTCGTTGGTAGCTACAACCATAATACAACAAATAAGTATTGCATTTTTATAAAATCGAAATCAATCGAAGCCGTACAATTTGCTTTGTATTGCAAAGCTAATTTAGGTGCTGCACATAATAATGTCTTGAAAACGTTTTTTCATTATATTGTTAAGCTTCATAAAACATTTTTTGGGATCCAATAATTAACATTTTTAAAACGTTAACTTAAGTTTTCCGATTATGATTTTAAAATGTTAATCAAGTTTAAGTATTAAACGTCAAACAAATTTAATGACTAAACGTTTAACATTAATAATGAGGCGATTGAAAAAATTTGAATCGACATGGCTTTATTGTCTTCTATATTGCTTTGCCACAATATGTAAGGTTTATCTACGCCCTACAGTAAAAAGTAATTACTAATTATTAAAAACAATAATTTAAAAAAAAGATCATTAAATAAACTTCTAAGTATCTTTAAAAAATATTTTATGTTCTACAACGTTTATGTGAAACGATATAAACGTTTTCAATCACTGCGTACAATAAAGAAACATTAAGGTTTTTTTTCTACTTTTCACAGGTGTTGTGTATTTAAGATAGGTATCCAAGACTTACTGACAATAGGTTGTACATTTGAAGCAACAAAAACTTGGTCAACGACGCCTTTCATGATGTTGATTGGCCGTTGACACAAACCACTTCGGAGAGACGAAACGATAAACTAAAAGCCAAGTGCAGTAGTTCAGATCGTTTTGTTTCGGTTTATAATTTGAAATAGGTTGGTGTGTATACCAGTCACCATGTTTTCCTCGTTGCCGTTCGGAAATCAAAAAAATATAATTATTATCAATCAACATTTAGGTTATCACTGTTATCAGTCAGACAAGTGATAACACCATAATAATATTTTGATGAGCATCGATGGGCAGACGGTGATAAGCAAAACTTTCTTGTTTAATAACAAAATAATAGCTAGCAGCTAGTAACAACAAATAGGTAACTACAGCCGGTAAAGTAATTTCAACTTTTTAAAACCGTCATATTAGCATGTAAATTTAATTTGCTTATAGTTTTCTATTAAACGTTTATGACTTATGATATTATAAAAACTGAAATCAACCATCTAATTTACAATTTTTTTCAGTTGTATGCAACGTTCATGATAATATCATTGTGACTTATCGATAAGTATCAACAATACCTATTAGATAACCGATAACACAAGTTTTTAATTTGTCTTTGATTAATTTCAATTGTGTTTACATAAGGTGCTTGCAACAAAACAAACCGGTATTTCGAAATTCAAATACTTTCACATTATTAGCTATTGTTGTTGAAGTATAATATTTTAATGAGTACATTACTGTTCAGGACTGCGACAAAACCAGTACTCCAGTGTTTGTTCCGATATTCGACAAAGACCACTAGAAAAATGGTAAGTATACATAAAGTATATATCTGATTATTTATATAAAAATAAATTAAAAATTTTGATTGGTTTCATCTAAAAGAGAAAATACATTTTGAAAATTGATTTAGTTATAATAAATTTGTATTATAACATTAGATAAATTAATGAATTTAATTAAAACTTGGAACTTTTGTCTATTAGGATTTGCCAAACAGTACTTGTATAAACTATATACAATTTAAAAAATAAAACACCCGTATTAGGTAATAGATAAATGTTTATCAATTGTGTGTATTTACATTATAATATTAGCTCCCAATAATTACTTGATGTTTATTTTTTATAAAAATTAAATAGTTATGCACTTAGTAAATGAAGTGTTTTTTTTTTTATTTAAAATAAGTAAAATCGAAAGTGGTTTACTATAAATATATTTTTATTTACCATCTTAAAAACAAAATTGATTTAAGATAAAATATATTTAACTATTAAAGTACAGATATCAATGTCAATGCTTAGTCTTCTCTCCAATTCTTGAGAAGTGTTTAGTTTAGCTCCTTTCCACTGTGCAGTGGCATATTTGAAAAAAGGTGCAGTCTATTGAATCTGAAAAACTTGAATGTATAAACATTAAAGAAACTATTAAATTACTTTTTTATTCCCTGTTATGAAAAAATATTATTAATTACTTATTAACATAATGTGTATTGTTGTAGCCTAGTCTGTTAACAAAAGAACAACGGGATGAGCTGTTGGCTCCATTATTTTCCAATAAGTGGACTATGGTAAAGGAAAGAGACGCTATTTACAAAGAATTCTTGTTTGCTGACTTTATCCAAGTAAACATTTTTTACTTATATAAATTTACTGAAATATAAAAATATATACGTATATAAAAAAAATATTTAAGTTTTAATTAAAATTGTTTTTATTTTTTTCAGGCATTTGGGTTTATGACTCAAGTTGCAATTAAAAGTGAAAAGATGAATCACCACCCAGAATGGTTCAATGTTTATAATAAAGTACAAGTCACGTTGGCTACTCATGACGTGAGCGGACTATCTACTAACGATGTAAATCTTGCCACATTTATGGACAAAATCGAGAAAAAAGTTTAGAGACTTGTAGTATATTTTAAAATATCTACTTGTATAATATATGTACTTAGGATTTAAAGAAAAAAACAAAATATGGACACTTATTTAATATATTATAAGGTATGTCAAGTTAATAAAATTTTACAAATGTTATTAAAATTCCACTTTTATAATATGGTACTAAATAAGTGTGTAATTAATGTAAAAAACAGGCAAGATTTGTAGAACCTGGAGTATTAAGGGTTTTATATATTCATTATAGTTAATAAAACAAAAAATTCAGTGGGCGACCTGGATTTGAACTAACACCACTGAATTAATGCCAACTGGGTGCTTTGATTGCCGAGCTACCTTCCGACTTGTTTGTATGAGAGTATTCGACTGGCAATTAAGGATTCCTTGGTTTCAATCACGATCAAATACCAGAATTTCCGTCCCGACTATATTAATTGCAAAGCATATAATACTTCAACTGTATAACTTTAGTCCAGTCTTGACTTTTAGACATTGACTTATTACGCTTAGCATATAGCGTGTAGCCTTTTAACTTTTTATATTAAATGCACATTAATTAACTTATGTTTTCAATTTTGTTTTGACTTTTATACAGACAGACGTGTGTTGACATTTAAGTTGTATCTGGAACAAAAATGTAAATTTTTTTCTTCAATGGGTAGCCAAATCACTTGCTTTAGTTATTTTCCTTGGATTAACTCAATACCACTCGTATAATATAATCCTGTCGGTGGTTCTTTTAAATATACTGAAAACACTTTAAAAAATATATATAAATTTAAAATTTGAATATGTATATTTTTATTTTGGCTGATTTAATAACGTTAATGTTTTAATGTTAACATAATGATAAAATATAACTATTTATAAGATGAATGTTAGGTTTTTATTTAAATACTTTATTATTTGGTAATTATATATGTATATTAATATATTTTTTTCCATATAGATATATATATCAGTTTGACCGAAAACCTGCATGAAATCGGACACATCGCGAGCAAACTACCAGGAGTCGATACAATAGCAAAAATATTGTTACATCCCATTTCATTTCCATCCATACAACTTCATCACTGTTTTTAGTATTAACATCAATGATCGCCTGTCGTCGATTAACAGAAATAATTAGATATATTTTTATTATTGTTATTAGACAACAGTTTACAAAAAGAACAATTTTACGTTCTCGGTATTTCGTTCAGAAATTCTAATAATTGGAGAAATCTCATTTATCATAATATAAAAGTTCAATTGAATAAATCAGAATGTTTAACTAATTTATAAAAGTAATTGTATTTTCAAATCTCGATTACTTATAAATGTTGGAGAAATATATTTCCAGGTCAGACTACGATAAATGTTTTTTTTTTTTACTTACTAATTGAATTGGTTTTGGATAGCCCAACCGGATAAATATATATATATATAATATATATATATATATTTATATTATTTAACTTACTTTTATACTATAAAGTACAATTAATAGGGGTAAGAGCAAAACTTTTTAAAACCCAACACGATAGAATCACAGGTCCTTAAGAAATAATTATATAATCAAAAAAAAAATGCTGTTTTCAAAATGTAGAAGCTAAAAACTACTAAACATAATTAATTTTCTACACAAATATATGTGATTCGTCGCGTTTCTTGAATATTCGGGATTTCCTTGTTATTGAAAATATTGTGCCTATCCAAAAACAAAAAATGTGTCTCGTGTTAAACTGATCACCTACAAATGTTCAACAATAAAGCATTGCTAAAATTGTATGTTAATTGTTATTGAGCCACATTAGATCTACCTTTTTTCAATATTTTTTTTATTTAAGAAACCCAAAAAATAAAGTGGAAAATAACACTTATGACGTTGAAAATTTCAAATTGCTATAGGTAAGTAATTTAATAGTTAACAGGTGTTAAAAACATTTTCGTTATAATACAAATTACGGTAAATGGGTAACAAAAGGAAACAATTATTATTGAAAGAAGATCAATCCAATAATACCTAATAGCACTAAAACTTCAAATTAAATTAAAATTATTGCAATTAAATTATTAATTGTTAATTTTATTGTTAGAATATTTTATAAAGAATATTTAGAAATATTCTCTATACAATTTAAAACGGTTTTGCTACATTCTTACTATTTGCAAATGCACATGGAAGCGTTTGTACCTATTGATGAAATCATTTTTAGAAATTTAAAAAATTGCTTCGCCACAACTTTGCTAAGTTGGACTCTTTCTTAACTATATGTTAAATAATCGTTGTAGGTTCACCTTATCACACGGCTTTTTTTCGAAAAAAATTATTTATCTTCGAAAACTTTCGACATTGTTGTTAATAAAAAATTAATTACATATTTTATAGTTGCGCATCGAAGGTAAGAAATTATGATTTTGACTATTATAAGCTCATTATTGTCGTCATTGTTATAATTTTATCGATATTTGCGTTCCTACTATCTAAAACGTTTATTTAAACGTAATTTAACACTTTAAATTGTAATAATTCCTGTACAACTGTGACCCCCTCCCTAATATTTTCTGTCTTAAATATTTTACATACATTTAATATAATTTACACGTGGAGATATTATTTTGATCTCCCTAATACTTATTTACTCAGCATTTTTTATTAACAATACATAATAAATTATAATTTAATAATAAATAAATAAATAAATGTATTATACAATTTTGTATAAAGCTAAAAAAATCGTTAAAGTTGAAAGAGTACAAACAAATTATAATTTCAAAGAGTTGGAAATCGTGGAAGTATTTGAAGATCTAAAAAAAACATGGACAAAATGTACAACAATAAAGATGAGTAAAAAGAACCAATAGACAAAAGGTGGGAGAGCATTAAAAGCACTGCAATAAACATGTATAGGAAAAAATCTATTCAGAAATAGATCACTCCAATTATCATAGACCTAATTGAAGAAAGACGAAAATACAAGCACCGGACTGAAGTAGAAGGACAACTAAAATATCGAAACCTAAGAAACTGTATAAACAGAGAATCAATTAAGCAAAAGAAGAATGGCTAGATCAAGCCTACGGAACCATTTAAAGTTACCTCAAAATAATAATATTAAAGGCAAAAATAGTAAATTGCTCTTGGACACAATAGAGGTGGTAAACCTATGCGGAAAATACCTTGAAGAACTATACCAAGGTGATGAATTACAAGATACCACTTTCACCATTAGTATGCAACTGCTACATAGAAAGAAGTATAACGGAAATTAAAGATAAACCTACGATAATAATATAATGTCGTACTTGAATTGTGTTTTTAGTGCGGTTT